GTCTGTCTGTCTATCTATCTATCTATCTATCTATCTATCTATCTATCTATCTATCTATCTATCTATCTATCTATCTATCTATCTCCCTTCCCATCTGTGGAGTGAAATCAGAGAATGGTTGGAGGATATGGAATGAGCGATGGTATGGAACAGGTCCAGTGGGAATAAATATAGCAATTTTGTATTTACTTTAACCATGTGTACTTTAATGTGCAACTTGTATAGTTTGTTACTCATTCTGATTGATTTTAAGATTCTAGGAACAGCCATTGCTGATCATGTAAGAAGTTTATGTAATCCATGATTTTCCAGTATAGTCAACTGGCTGCTCATGGAAAGTGCAATATAATATTTGTGATCACTCTGAACAGGTTCCCCTGTAACTGATATTCTGAGATATATTGTCTCTGGAAATAACATCTCATCAGAATGAGCAGTTAGTGAGAATCAGTTGTGGATAGATCTCTGAACAGTAGTTTACAACTAGCTGTAGATGCTGGTTGGACTCCTTCAGAAAACTCAGGTACATAGCATTTCTCCTAGACCCATTACTCAGTGAGGAACCTCAGAGGATGTCATTGTACAGGAGTGCATTTTACCACCCACTGCTGGAAAGGATGGACTGAGTACTAGTGACATGTATTGTGTATACTACTAAATATGGTTCAGACATGTTGGTGCAGTTCAGTTGTAATCCAACTACCAGAGTAGTAGTTGGAGCAGCTTAGTCAAGAGGTAAAAATACGACAGCTACGATTGTCACACTATTTCTGAAGCTGATTTAAAGGGCTTCTTTTCTATCTCCTAGTCTTACATTGGGGGGTAACGAGTGACTTGAAAAACTGTGGCAAGTTACAGTACCTGAACCTGACAATACTGAAAGTGAAACCTATTAAGAGTTAGGAACAGATCCTTCACTTAATTCCTTTTGGAGAACCTTAAAAGAACCAACATGTCGAGATTGGAAGGGACTTTGGAGATGGTTTGGAGCATTTTTCTCTAATAATTTTTACTCAGCTATTGAGGGAAGTGTTTTAGTTTGATATTTTTTTTAAAAAAAGCTTTAATGCTTTAATAAATTAGCTAAACCTGGCTTTAGCTTTGATTTTTTAAAATAGAAAGCTAACTTTTGATGGATATTTTTTACCAGCAGTCTGGAAACATTTGTAATAAACTAGTAAATTATGGAGGATACATTAAGTGTGTTCTTGGGGCAAAACCATTTATTTTTCCAAAAGAATCTGTAGCTGGGAGATCAGCCAAAGATGGTAAAATTTGTCTTCACTATTTGTGGCCCTGGGAAGCACCAAATCTAGGAGATTCTCAAACTATGTAACTGACTTTAATGGAAGGATAATTCTTTTCTGACATATTTCTATACCTCCATCCTAATCATCAGATTTATGCAACCAAACCTACCATTTACATGTTGCTTTTCCATTGTATCTGTGAAGGAACAAATTTATACACTACATGAAAGCCTCTAATTGCAAGAAAGGGGGAACTGATAATAATAATAAGAATTGAACATTCATAAATATAGAAAGTCATATTTATGACATGTGTATGTTTGTGTGTATGATTTCTGAATTTTTGTTTCTGAACTTACACCAATTATCTATGTCTTCTCCTTGGTTGGCTAGGTGGTAGGAGACACCAACGACAATATAGCTTTTATTTGTTATCCAGATGTTCTTCACACATTGTCAAGTTCATTCATATGCTTTGCTGAGCAGGAATGAATATTCTTAATACTTCTTCCTTTCTATTGTTTCTGTTCCTTTTGAACAAATGGTATCCTTCAAAGTCAGATGATAAAGACAGAGTCATTTGTCCTGGGTATCTCAGCTTGATGTTCAGGAGTTGTTATCTTTTAGTGAATGAAACCAAGGAGCAACATTGCTTTCCTTCAACCATTAAAGCTCCTTGAACAGCTATTTTGGCATGGGGGCAATTTGATTTATTCACTGCCTGAACTTCTGCATATTTGACCTTTCTACCTACCAGACTGAATCCTTGTTTCTTTTCTTTAGGGTTTGAAAGGGCAAGAAGGAACAGTAGGTCAACCTGGACCTCCAGGAGAAATTGTAAGTAACTGCCTTAAGAACAATTTTTCCAGGTAAATAAAGGTGTAACAAATCCTTGGATACATAAGAGCATTTCCATAGCTGAACCTGCACTTTTTGATTTTCAAGACATATGGATTAGGAATCATCATCATGTAATGCATTCAGATATGATTCAGCAGCCAAATAGAAATCAGTTGTCAAGGAATACAGTAAGTAAATAGAAAAAGTCTATTGAGAAGTGCTGGGCTTGGACAAAAGTCCCATTCATTTCATTGGGGTTTACATAGAAAAAAAAATCCTTTTAGTGTTTGACCTAAAAGCTTTGACCTACTCAATTTTAATAATTATTGCTTTATATTTTTAAGGTGATTGTTTTTATATTTATTGTTTTACCGGATTGTCATAAACCACCCAGAGTCACTTCTTGTGAATGGGGAGCCATATAAATTTGATAAATAAATAAATAGCTCCTCTGGCTGCTTTGACATGGTGAAGAGTTTAAATCAACAAGTGTATTTTTCTAAGTTTTCTCAGTTTTTCTAAGTTTTCTCAATTATAGTGGCAATGAGTGCACCATTGGGAGACTTGAAAGAACAGGTTAGGGATAGATTGTCTTGGAGAAAATCTATCTGTGTGGTTGCTAGAAGTTAAAAACGACTTGGTGGCACATAATCAATCAAATCAATTTTTCTAAGTTTACAATTCTGGTCCTTTGACTATGCCCCCCCACCATTTTGTTTTCTTAGTCTAGAGCTTATATTGCTACTGTCTACCTAGGCCTCCTGTGATTTTTAAGTGTTCATGTGTGCAAAGTACAGAATGTCCAGATAAGATATAGACCACACAACTGCACTGTCCATAACTGTTTGTCAAAAAGAATTGTAATCAGGGCTTACTGCCAATTTGTGAATAATAATAATAATAACAACAAACAACGGCATGACAAAGTAACAACAATGGTGCATTGGAATATCTGCAGGACATACCATTTGCCTGCAAGCAAGAACTGGTGGGACCACAAAACAGACAAAGTAACAGAAAAT